CCACCACCACCACCACCACCACCACCACGCACACACGCGCGCACGCACGCACGCGCACCACCACCCACTACGCACGCGCGCGCGGAGCCACAGGTCCGCTACGACACGCGTCCGCGGATAGAGAAAATCAGCGCCATGGTAAGGGATGGGAGGGAGGGGTAGGACGTCAGATATGACGCGAGCGCACCTAGCTTGTCCCTCCTCCCTCCTCCTCCTCCTCCTCCCCTCCCTCCTCCCTCCTCCCTCCTCCTCCTCCTCCTTCCCCTCCTCCTCCCATCAGAACTGTTATGCAAATGTGCCCCCCCCCCCCCCTCCTCCTCCCCCTCCTCCTCCTCCTCCTCCTCCTCCTCCTCCTCCTCTCGGTGGAGCTGCTCCCCCAACGCACAGGGGGTCAACCGCCACCGCGTGCGTTCGGTGAAGGGTACCGCGTTCAACTTCACTGCAAAGCGCTGCCTGGCCAGAAAGCTGCCCTCCAGGTCCCTCCTCCTCGCCCCCACACTTCCCCCCCTCCTCCTCCTCCTCCTCCTCCTCCTCCTCCTCCTCCTCCTCCTCCTCCTGATCCTCCTCCTCATCCTCCTCCTCCTCCTGCTCCTCCTCCTGCTCCTCCTCCTGCTCCTCCTCCTGCTCCTCCTGCTTCTCCCCCTCAACATCGGCATCGCCCATCACCATCACTTACCATCATCGCCATCATTGTCATCATCAGTATCAACATCACCATCACAACCACCATTATCACCATCAGCATCATCATCGTCATCAGCACTAGCAGCAGCATCATCCTCCTCATCATCACCAACATGATTATCATCATCATCATCACCACCTTCATCACGGGTACCACCGTCATCCTCATCACCATCATGATCATCAGCACCATCAACGCCATCAGCATCGTCATTGTCACCAACATCACCACCCTCATCATCATCAGCATCGTCATCATCATCATCAGCAGCAGCAGCATCAACATCGTCATCACCAGCATCGTGATTACCATCAACAGCATCATCATCAGCATCATCATCGCCCCACCACCATCCTCATCAGCATCATCGTCATGATCCTATGATCACCAGCATCATCATAATCCACCCCATCATCACGACCAGCGTCATCATCACCATAATCACCACCATCATCATTACCATCTCAATCACCACCATCATCAAAAGCATCAGCATCATCAGCATTGCCGTCATCAGCATGATGATCGTCGTCCCTCGTCCCCGTGACCCTCTTTTCTCAATCCATCCAACCTGTCGCGTCCCCAGGCGTGTCGGCCGGGCGGGCTGCGCGTTCTGCCTGAGACCTCCTCACCAACTCTGACCCTGAAGCTTGAACGTTGTAACCGCATCACGGATGGACGGATGGAGGTAGAATGGTTTTCAAAAGTAGGATCTCGCCTTAGCGCCGCGCATGCAGATCGTAAACTGCGGCGACAGCTTCACGGACGGGGGGCGGACGGTTTTGAAAATGTGGCTCTCGCCTGAGCGCCGCGCACATTCGAACTCACACGCTTGCAACAGTGCCACCAATGGAAATGGGAGTGATGGCGGGGCGATATGGGGGGGGGAATGTTTAAAATGTGGCTCTCGCAACACCGCACGCATTCGTCTGCTGAAGGCCGATCTTTGTCAAAAAAGGGTTCTCCCCTTTTAGCATCGCGCAGACCGTTAGAACAGGTCGCACCACCTTAAAATCGTGTTCAACATGTGGCTTTCGCTTCAGCGCCGCCCACACTGGCCGCAAAAGTCTGCAACCACGTTAGGCGTAGAGTGGCGCAATTGTAAAACTGTGGTTCTCGTCGTAGCCCCGCGCACGCTCGTCTTGGAAATGTGCAAGATTGTCAGAATTTTGGGAGCGAGATTTCCAAAATGTGGGTCTCGCCTTCGCGCCGCGCACGTTGGCCCCAAACAGGTGCAACTGTTCCAACGATGAAGGGCGGTCCGTTTACAAAATGGGGATATCACCATAGCGCCGCGCACATTCGCGCAAACATGTTGCAATAACTTCATGGGCGGAGAACGGTTCATTTTCAAAGTGGGGCGCTCGCCGCGCACATCCGTCTCGCGCACCAGTGTGCCAGTCTTGAGCACTGGTCGTTTTCAAAGCTGGGGTGCTTCCCCCAACGGCGCGCGCATTCGTTATCCAACGCCTCGTCTAGCAGGATGGAAGGCTGCTCTTGCTCTTTTTCAAAATGGATTTCTCAATTGGGAGACTGCTATTCTTCTAAGCCCCGGAGCTTCAACGACTGTAGCGCTTTCAACATGGAACTGTCGCTTCTGAACTGTCCTCGATGTCCATGACAACAAAGGAGAAGTGGCGCTTCGGTTGCACGGATTGTGAGGATTTGTTTCGAAAGACCTATCTCGCTGCTGTTGCGTTTCAAATTGTACGTCGGCAAGATGCAAGGCATATCCTTTTCCAAAATGGGGAGTAAGCCTGAATGGCAGGCCCAACCTGCACCGGCTTTCACGGGGGCACTTGTTTTTGTTTTTGTGATATAAATCGTCATGGACGTGGAAACCAAACAGTGATTCCCTGCAACCTATACGCAGATATAAACACACACATATATATAATAGAACCATCGCGCGCGTTTCGCGCGCGCTCAGGTTCTAGCAGGCCCCTGGCCTTGACGAATTCATTGCTCTACTGAAGTAGTGGACCACAGTCCACCCATGCCAATCGGCATTCCGAAAGGCCTTCGAGGAAAATGGTTGTGTATGGGGGCGGAGGCCGTATGAATCGGGTTCCCAGAAGGCCTTCTGGGAGCATGGGTTTGGGGGCGTCTTGGGGAGCCTGTTGTGGCGTGCCGTCGTCGTCGTCGTCTTCGTCGTCGTCGTAATGTCGTCGTCGCCTATGGGGCGCGCCGTCGTCGTCGTCGTCATCGTCGTCGTCGTGGTCGTGGTCGTCGTCGTCGTCGTCGTCTTCGTCGTTTCGTCGTCGTCGTCGTCGTCGTCGGTTCAAGAGGGCACTTGGGGCAACTTTGTGCGAAACGATCTGCGGAGGGCCGCGAGCAGGCGATCAGTCATGTTTCCAATCAACTTCCCAGAGAGCTCTCCTGTAGCATGATGGTACTTCGAAGCCTCCGGAGACTCGCGGGCCCATGATGAACCATGTCCCCGGAAGGCTCCCGGAAGGTTTTTGGGGGACATGATTTCTTAGGGTGTGTTGGGGGGCCTCTTGGAGTTCCCTGGGAGCCCCTTGGGGGTCTCTTGGGGCTTCCTGGGGGCCTCTTGGGCGCCTCACGGGGCTTGGTGGGAGCCTCTTGGTGGCCTCCGGGGGCCTCCAGGCGGCCTCTAGGGCCAGAGACCTCGAAATATCGGTTGGCGTTCCCCCTCTGGGCCCTCTCTTGGGGAGCTCTTGGGGCACAGTTGGGTTGTCGGGGGAGCCTCCTGGGCCGTCTTGGGGCCCTCTTCGGGCCTCGTGGCCCGTCTTGGAGCGATCTGAAGGGCCTCCGAGCGAGGCCGTGAGGGAGCGCTGGGAAGCGGGGGAAGCAAGAACGCCTAAATCCTTCAGGAACCATCGGGACATTAGTGAAGCGTGCCTTTCATGGCCCTCTTGGGGAGCCTCTTGAGTCCGTCCTGGAGCGTCTTGGAGTCCTCGTCGGCTGTCTTGAGGGCAGCTTGGGCGTCTTCGGGGCCTCGTGGGACCGTCTTGGGCCCTCTCGGGACCCCCTTAGCCTGTCGTGGCCTGCTTCGGGGCGGGCTCGGGCCGCCTCGGAGCTCTGGACCCCCCACCGCAACCCCCGGTGGGCACCGACGGGGGGAACAGGCAGCGGCCCGCCCCCCCCCCCTGGGCCTACTCCGAGATAGAGAATCATGTTCCGGGGAAGCTTTCAGGGAGCATGATTTGTTCGGCTTACATAGAGGGGGGCCTCTGGGGGCTCACCGAGGGGCGCCTTTTGGCGTTGTCGGCAAGCCTATTGGAAACATGGTTGGGGCGGTGGGCGGAAACCCAAGGAATCATGTTCCCGGAAAGCTATCTGGGAAATACGATTTACCGAAGTGTCTTGGGGGCCCGCAGGGGGCTTCCCTGGGGGCCCCTTGGGGGCCTATTGGGGCTTCCAGGGGGCCTCTTGGGAGCCTCACGGGGCTTCTTGGGAGCCTCTTGATGGCCTCTGGGGGCGTGCTAGGAGCCTCTCAGGCCCGGAGACTTTGAAATGTCGCGCTCTTCGGGCCCTCTTGGGTCGCTCTTGGGGCTCTCTTGGGGCGCTCTCGAGGCCCTCTTGACTGATCTGGGGAGCCTCCTGCGCCGTCTCTGAGCTTTCTTGGGGGCCTCTTCGGCCGTCTTGGAGCGATCTGAAGGGCCTCTGACGCGGTCCGGGACCGTGGGGAGGCGGAACATGGGAGAGCGCAAGAATGGTTCAAAAACCATTGGAAAATTCATGATTTTCGGCTTCTGGGGCCCTTTGGAGGGGCCTCTGGAGGCGCTCTTGGGGCGTTTTGGCGGCGTCGTCGGCCGTCCTGAGGCCATCTTCGGCGTGTCCGGGGCCTCTGGGGGCTGTCTGTGGGCGTCCTGGGAACCCGAGAATCATGTTCCCAGAGAGACTTCCGGGCACATGATTTCGACCGAGGCCCTCTTGGGCCCCCCTGAGGCCGTTTTGGGGGCCTCCTGGGCTGGCTTTGGGGCCTCTTGGGCCGTCTTGGGGGGGTTCCGTCATGACCGCACCCCCGTAGAGCACGCGACGTGCCCTGCTGCACACCACGCAGAGCACAGTGAAAACGAAAAATTGCAGGGGCATGTGAGGATGGATGTGGGGCGGAAGGGTGTATTGCAGCAACGCTTACGCATATGTGGTGTACTCTGGTCTTATTCCTCCTATCAGTTCGTTGATGCTAACTCGCTCAATCCTCCTAATAATCCGAATCCCCCTCTCGGCGGAGCTACTCCCCCAACACAAAGAGGGTCATTAGTCAGCGACCGTGTCCGGTGAAGGCTCTCGCGTCAAACTTCACTGCAAAGCGCAGCCTGGACAGAAAGCTGCCCTCGGGGTCTCTCCTCCTCTCCTCCCTCCTCCCCCTCCTCCTCTTCCTCCTCCTGCTCCTCCTCCTCCCCATCATCATTACCAATATCATCACCATCATCGCAACACTCACCGTCAACCTCCAGATCATCCTCACCATCATCGCCAACACCACCATCGCTATCAGATTCTGCCTCATCCTCATCAATTCCCGTCCCCCTACTCTGCCTCCTCCTCCTCCTTCCTTATCATCAAGATCATCATCATCAGCATCATCACCATCACCACCATCACCATTGACATGACCATCAGCACCATCATCAGCCTCACCATCACAATCACCATCACCATCACCATCACAATCAACATCACCACCACCATCATCATCCTCATCCTCATCACCATCCTCATCGTCATCATCGTCATCGTCTTCGTCATCATCCTCATCATCATCAGCATCATCATCAGCATCAGCATCATCATCAGCATCATCAGCATCGTCATCACCATCAGCATCATCATCGTCATCATCATCAACGAAAGACCCTGGTGGACACACAACCAAGGTCGCCCCGGCGACGGGCCACCTCTACGTGTAGACGATCCTCTTTGGAGCGGCCCTCCCCCGCGCACCAGCAGCAGCCGCGCCGCCAGCGGAGGCAGGCCGGGCCGCGGAGCCCTAGCGAGGTGGCGCGCGCGTGGGCCGGGCTTCAAGTGCCGTGCCACGCCTGCTGCTTGCCCTCCTCGTCGTGATGCTGCTGCTGCTGCTCCTGCTCCTGCTCCTCCTCCTCCTCCTCCTCCTCCTCCTCCTGCTCCTCCTGCTGCTTCAGGAGGGCTTCGCGGCCCAGGGCGAGTTTCGGTTTGTGAAAGTGCGTGCGCACTCTCGAGGGCCCAGGGACGAAACGGAGGAGGCCCTTTTAGATTTCCAAGGCAACCAGCTAGCGGACGCAGAGGCTAAAGCTGGAGCCGAATGTCAGGCGGTCCCCCCTTGGCGCTGTGAGACTTGGGACTCTCGATCGCGAGAGGTCCAAGGAGTGCTCAATCTTGTGGCGGGGGTGACTACGGCGGTGGGGGACTTCCCCTCGACATCCTACTGCTCTCTCTCCTGCGTCTCATCCGCTCCTCATCATCTTCTTCCTCGTCCTCGTTTTCTTGTCCTCCTCCTCCTCGCCCTTGAAATTGCCTCGTCATCCTCCTGCTCTGCCCCATCCTCATCCTCATCTTCATCCTCCTTGACCTCCTCATCCCCATCCTCGCCCTTATCATCAGCACCAGCCCCCTCCTCATCCCCATCGTCTACGGTGCCACCACCGTCATCGACAACACCCTCATGTTGCTCATTCTCAGCCCTAGCCCTCCCAACACCACATGCTGCCAATAGTCATCGACTGTACCATCATCACACTCATCATCGTAGTTATCATCATCATCGTCATCGTCATCCTCATCCTCATCATTATCAGCATCAGCATCAAACTCGTCATCACCACTATCATCACCATCATCATGATCATCAGAAGCAGCAGCATCGTTGCCATCAACATCATCATTCGCATCGGCATGACCATCATCATATCGAACTCCGTCACCATCCTCACCATCAGCAGCGCCATCATCAGCACCATCAGTCATCGCTTACCACTCACCAATATCATCACCAGCTTCATCTTGTACAGCATCAGTATCATCAAACTCGTGGCGACACGCATCGTCCTCATCAGTACACTACGTATCGTCGTGTTCATCGTCACCATTAGCATCGTCATCCTCATCATCATCAGCAGCATCATAATGAGCAGCAGCATTCGCATGAGTACTATCATCACCACTAACATCATCATCATCCTCATCAGCATCATCATCATCATCCTCATCATCAGCATCAGCACACTCATTACATTTACAGTCAGCATCGTCATCATCATCCTCGTCATCAACATCAGCCTCAACACCATAATATTCATCGTCCTCATCATCGTCATCAACATCGTTCACACTAGCATTGCCATCACAATCATGCGCATCGTCAGTATCGTGTCAGCCATATCATTACAAATATCCGCATCAACGTCGACGCCATCACCATCAGCATCATTGCCATCAGCATCATTGTCATCATCATCAGCATCACCATCATCATGATCATCCTCAACATCACCATCTTCACCAATACCACTATCAGCATCACCAATACCGCCATCATCATCATCAGCATCATCACCACAACCACCCACCCCACCCCGACCACCACCACCACCACCACCACCACCACCACCATCATCATCATCATCATCATCATCAGCAGCATCATCGCCGTCATAATCGGCGTCATCATCATCAGCTTCAGCATCAACATCATTACCATGGTCGTCACCAACACCCTCAGCATCATCAGCATCATCATCAGCATCATCCTCCTCATCATCCTCATCCTCCTCATCATCATAAGCATTATAACCATAAACAACATCATCAGTATCAGCATCCGCTTCCTCCTCCTCGTCATCGTCATCAGAATCATCATACTCATCATCATCATCATCATCATCATCATCATCATCATCATCATCATCTCATCATCATCATCAGCAGCATCATCATCATCATCATCATCATCATGATCATCATCATCATCAGCAGCATCGTCATAATCAGCATCAGCATCATCATCACCACCATCATCATTATCGCCATCATCACCATCAGCATAGTCACCATCGTCACAACCACCACCAACAGTTTCACCATTATCGTCCACGGATGAATTCGCTGGGTAACAACCCGCTATGCATAGCCTGTGCACAGGCCTATCGTAGGCCTTTGCATAGCCTACGCATCGGCCTGTAACGGACGAGGCGCACAGGCCCTAAGAAGGCCTATCGATAGGCCTATCGATAGGCCTGTCGATAGGCTATGCATAGCCCTGTCGTAGGCCTGTCGACAGGCTGTGCATGGGTCCATGACAGGCCTATCGGCAGGCTGCGCACAACCTACCATAGGCCAATACATAGTCCTATGCACAGCCTGTGCACAGGTCTCTACTCTGCCTGAGCACAGCGCGCGAGTGTAGGTCTGTGACAGGTCTGCGCACAGGCTATGCACAGGCCTGTCGCGGAGCGTTGGCCCTCTCCCAGGCTCACCACAGGCCTGTGCACAGGCTGTCCACAGGCCTGTGACAGGCCTGTGCACAGGCCTGTCGCGGGGTGTCGGCTCTCTCCCAGGCTCACCAAGGGCCTGTGCACAGCTTGTCCACAGGCCTGTAACAGGCTTGTGCACAGGCTATGCACAGGCCTGTCGCGGGGTGTCGGCCTTCTCCAAGACCCACCACTGTCTACAAGCCTGTGGCAGGCCGGTGCGCAGGCTGCGCACACCCCTGTCGCAGGGTGTCGGCCCTCGCACAGGCCCACCACAGGCCTATTCACATGCCTGTGGTAGGCCTGTGCACAAGCTGTGCACAAGCCTGTCGCGGAGCGTTTGCCCTCTCCCGGGCCCACGCCTGTGCACAGCCTGTCCACAGGCCTGTGCCGGGCCTGTGCACAGGCCTATCGCGGGAGCGTTGGCCCTCTCCCAGTCCCACCACAGGCCTGCGCACAGCCTGTCGACAGGCCTGTGGTAGGCCGCTTGTGCACAGGCTGTGCATCGACCTGTCGCGGGGCGTCGGCCCTCTCCCAGGCTCACCACAGGCCTGCGCACAGCCTGTCGACAGGCCTGTGACAGGCCTGCGCACAGACTATGCACAGGCCTGTAGCGGGGCGCTCGCCCTCTCCCAGGCCGACCACAGGCCTGTGCACAGGCTGCCCACAGGCCTGCGACAGGCCTGTGCACGGGCTGTGCACAGACTCTCGGAACAAATTGCGAGGAAGCATCGAGCGGAAACCCTTGTCATCGCGGCTGCGCCCCCACTGTAATTTAACTGATTTGCCAGGAAGTCTCCAGCGAGAGCGCAGTTCCTAATTAACTTCGGGAACCTCTCTGGCCAGGGCCTCCTGGAGTAAATCGCGGGCAAATATCGACCGGGGCCCCTTGTCGTCGCGGCTGGGCATCCGCGAACTTCATTGAATCGCGAAGAAGTCTCATGCGAGAGCGCCGTTCCTGGGGCTTCTGCGGGCTGGGGCCTCTGTGGGCGCGTTTGGGGCCCCTGTGGGCTGCGCTGGGGGGTCTCAGTTGGCAGCGCGCTGGAGCCTCTGCGGGCGCGCTTGGAGCCTCTGTGGGCTGGGGCCTCTGTGGGCTGCGACGGAGGCCTCAGTGGGCAGCGCGTCGGGGCCACAGTGAGCAGCGCGCGGGGGCCTGTGTGGGCGCGCTTGGGGCCTCTGTGGGCTGGGGCCTCTGTGGGCTGCGTCGGGGGCCTCATTGGACAGCGCGCGGTGGCCTCTGTGGGCGCGCTTGGGGCCTCTGCGGGCTGAGGCCTATGAGGGCTGCGTCGGGGGCCTCAGTGGGCTGCGTCGGGGGCCTCAGTGGACAGCGCGCGGGGGCCTCTGAGGGCGCGCTTGGAACCTCTGTGGGCTGGGGCCTGTTTGGGCGCCCTTGGGGCCTCTGTGGGCTGTGCCGGAGGGCCTCAGTGAGCAGCGCGCGGGGGCCTGTATGGGCGCGCTTGGGGCCTCTGTGAGCTGGGGCCTCTGTGGGCTGCGTCGGGAGCCTCAGTGGGCAGCGCGCTCGGGGCCTCTGTGGGCGCGCTTGGGGCCTCTGCGGGCTGGGGCCTCTGTGGGCGCGCTTGGGGCCTCTGTGGGCGGCGTCGGGGGCCCCAGTGGGCAGCGCGCGGGGGCCTCTGTGGGCGCGCTCGCGGCCTCTGGGGCTGGGGGCTGGCGCCCTTGGGGCCTCTGTGGGCTGTGTTGGGTGGCCTCAGTGGGCAGCACGCTGGGACCTCTGTGGGCGCGCCTGGGGCCTCTGTGGGCCGGGGCCTCTGTGGGCTGCGACGGGAGCCTCAGTGGGCAGCGCGCTGAGGCCTCTTGTGGGCGCCCTTGGGGCCTCTGCTGGCTGGGACCTTTATGGTCGCGCTTGGGGCCTCTGTGAACTGTGTCGGAGGACTCGGTGGGCAGCGCGCGGGGGCCTCTGTGGGCTCGCTTGGCGACTCTGTGGGCTGGGGCTTCGGTGGGCACGCCTGGAGCCTCTGTGGGCGTTGTCGGGGGGGCTCAGTGGGCAGCGCGCTGGAGCTTCCGTGGGCCCGCTTGAGGGGTTAGGGCCTCTGTGGGCTGGGGCATCAGTGGGCAGCGCGCTGGGGCCTCTGCGGGCGCGCTTGGGGCCTCTGTGGGCGCGCTTGGGGCCTCTGTGGGCTGGGGCCTCTGTGGGCGCGCTTGGGCCCTCTGTTGGCTGTGCCGGAGGCCTCAGTGGGCAGCGCGCGGGAGCCTCGGCGCGCTCGGGGCCTCTGTAGGCTGGGGCCTCTGTGGGCGCGTGTGGGGCCTCTGTTGGAGGTCGGGGCCTCAGTGAGCAGCGCGCAGGGGCCTCCGTGGGCACGCTCGGGGCCTCTGTGGGCTGCGTCGGGGAGCCTCAAAGAGCAGCGCGCGGGGGCCTCTGTGGGCGCGCTCGGGGCCTCTGCGGGCTTGGACCTCTGTGGGCGCGCGTGGGGCAGCTGTTGAACGGGGGGCCTCAGTGGGCAGCGCGCTGGGGCCTCCGAGCGCACGCTTGGGGCGGGGGCTTTGGCCTTTGTGGGCTGTGTCGAGAGCCTCAGTGGACAGCGCGCGGGGGCCTCTGTGGGCGCGCTTGGGGCCTCTGTGGGCCCTCTGAGGGCTTGGGCCTCTGTGGGCTGTGTCGGGGGGCAGCGCGCGGGGCCCTCTGTGGGCGCGCTTGGGGCCTCTGTGGGCAACGCGGGGGAGCCTCTGTGGGCGCGCTTGGCGCCTACGTGGGCTGTGCCGGCAGGCCTGCGGGCAGCATGCTACGGTCACTGTGGGCTTACTCTGGGCCTCAAAGAGGCGTGTCTTGGGGGCCTCAGTGGACAGCGCGCCGGGACCTCTGTGGGCTGTGTCCGAAGGCATCAGAGGGCAGCCTCTCTGGTCAGGGTGTCTCGAGGTAGTTGTGAGGAAGTATCGAGCGGGAGCCGTTGTTGTCGTAGCTGGGCCTCCGAGGCCGCACCTTTAGGGTCCAGCCAACGCTCCAGCGGGAGCCTCGTTTTCAGAGATAATGTAGCAGGCGTCGAGGCGAGAGCGCCCAGAACCGTTTCCGGGGATCAACAATAGTCATCCTCTAGGAATGCGTATTCAACAACAGCAGCAACAACAGCAACAACAGCAAGACGAATATCAACAACAACAACAACAACAACAACAACAACAACAACAACAACAACAACAACAACAACAACAACGCCAACACCAACACCACCAACAACAACAACAACAACAACAACAACAACAACAACAACAACAACAACACCACCACCACCACCACCACCACCACCACCACCACCACAACAACAACAACAACAACAGCAACAACAACAACAACATCAACTGCAACAACAACAACAATCCGCTGCGCGGAACCTCACTTCAGCCACGCGCCCAGGGACAGTGAATGACCGTTCGGTCCCCGCACTCTGATATCTCTCTCTCTCTCTCTATCCTGCTGTCCTGTTTTCCTGTTCTCGCTTCCCCCATCCCCCCTTCTCCTTCTCCAGCGATCCCTCAAGTTATGCTCTCCCTCTCCCTCCCTGCATGGACCTCTCCCCCTCACCTCCTCCCACCTCCGTCCGCCCCTCCCTCCCTAGCCCTCCACATCGTTTCCCACCCCCCTCCACACCTCTTCCCAGACATGTGACGTCCTGATTGTTCAATACGACATGCGACTACATGTCTGGGTTTCCCTCCCTCCATCCATCCATCTCAGCTCCTCCCTCTGCACCCTGGTCCGTCGCCGGCCTTCGGCGCCTCATCCCCGTCCAGGCTACCCGGCCTGGCGGAAGAGAGAAGCGAGGAAATGTTAAGACCGGGACGGGGCGGAATGGGAGCAGGGGGAGGCGGAAAGGATACGTAGGGATCTGCAAGGGGCCGAAGGCAAGAGCAGGTGCAAGTGCACAGGCACGTATCCTCCTTGCTGGTAATTCCGACTGCGCGATGGACGACGAGTGTTCATTAGCTCCAGGACGATGGAGCAAGTGCAAGGGTCCCCTCCTCCTCCTCCTCCTCCTCCTCCTCCTCCTCCTCCTCCTCCTCCTCAAAGGTCTGACTGGCTGCTGAGCGGCTGCAGAAATGGTGCGACATGGGTCCCGCCCGTGTCGCGGCACTCCCGTTCTGGGCTGCGCTTCGTCTCCCTCTCATCCCCCCCCGCACAACCCTGGGTGTTGAGAAAAAATCAGAAGGTCCTCCTTCCACAACCCCATCCTGCCCTTCCCACCAGCAGCCCTCCCCTCGGTGGTAATTCCGATTGCGCGATGGACGACGAGTGCTCATCAGCTCCAGGACGATGGAGCAAGTGTAAGAGACCCCTCCCCCGCCTCACCCTCCTCCTCTCCTCCTCCTCCTCCTCCTCCTCCTCCTCCTCCTCCTCCTCGCTCCTCCCCTCCTGCTCCTCCTCCCCCCCCCCCCCCCCTCCTCGCCCCTCCCCCCCCCCCCCCCCCCCCTCGCCCCTCCCACCTGCAGCCCTCCCCTCCTCTCCCGGGCCCTGTAATTACCCCCTCCCCCCTCCGACACCCCAGAGCTCCAGCGCCCCGCCTTCTCCTCCGCCCTGCGGGCCCCTGAGGCTGTGACTCCCCTCCCTGGGGCACAGCCTCTCGGCCTCGCATCCGTCTCTCGGAGCAGGGCGAATTGCGACGACGGCAGCTTCAAGTCGGCCCCCAGACTCCTCCTGGGGCCCAAACGCGCAGGTTCCCCAGACTGCTTGCAACCGTGGCGACGAAGGGGCCCCGCGGGGGCCAACTGCCATTGTCTCACCCCCTCCTCTGAATCTCTGACCAGCCAGGCCCGCAACACGCCTACCCCCCCAACATGCGACGTCCTGATTTTTCAATACTTTGGCGTCCCGGAACTGTCCGTGCGGTGAATTCGAAATCCCCCAAGACCTCACCGCACGGTCCGTCAACGCACGGTTTGGGACCTCGTATGCCCCAGTCGCCCGAGACGTCCTCGGAGAACGACCCGAGTTCCAAAACCGTGCGGTGACCCCGAATCCCCACCGACTCACCACACGATGTGGTCACCACCCCGTTTGGGGGCCCCCCAAGCGGTCCCCGAAAGTCCCGACCAATTCCCCGGGGACAATGTTTCGTCCCGAGTCGTTGTGTGACGGTCCCGGGGCCGGGTGAGGGCCCGCAGGGGCCGAAAACGGTGCAACAAGACGACCGTCCTGATCTTTTCGCGACGCGGGCATGCCTGGTCTCCCCCCCCCCTCCCCCCCGAGTGACGAAGCCGAGGAAGGGCCGCCCCCAGCGTGGCCTCCGCCCGCCGCCCCCCCCCCCCCCCACCGCCGCGCGCCGCCCGGGAGGAGGGGGCGAGCGGCAGACGCCCGCCAGAGGCCTGGGGGAAAGCCCCTCTCGAGGGCCGCGCGCGGGGAGCCGTGGGCGCAAGACGCTCACGGACGAAAGAGACCACACGCGAGACGAAGCCAGGAGGAGGATACCGTCGGGCGACGGTAACTCGAAACTCTCTGAGAGCCGGCGCCGCAGCCTTCTCAGAGAGCTCCAGCACGCTGTGAGAGTGTTCCGGAACGCTCTGGAACGGACTCATCCTCGTCCTACGGTCATGGTCCTATCCGTGGCGTGTATGTGATTTCGGGCCCAGCGAAATCGAAGCCGGCGATTCGCTAAGCAGCGCAGTGGCGTACGGCAGGGTCGTGCGGCGTCGGCGCGCGCCAAGGTTTTTGACACCGCATCGATCGTTAAACCTTGAATCGATCGCGGCGCCGATCGTTCAAGGTTGAATTCCGTCGGATCCAATGGCGTTACCGTGTCCATCGGCGCTTCCGCGTCGCAGAATTCAAGCTTGAACGCCTTCGCCGGCGTCGCCGGCGCGCCAGCGCCGCACGAACCTACCGGACACGCCAAGTAGGATCGGGCGAAACAGCCCTCCGATGTACACGCCAAGTACCAACCACGCGGGATGCTCGCCAAATTGCGGGGCCCTTCGTGTGTATAGGCGTATTACCAACTACACGCTAAGAATAGGACCATCACCGTAGCCCCGTTCAACAACGTTCTGACAAAAATCAAGGACGGAGGCTTTCGCCGTTTTCGGCCTTCAGAGGCCCTGGCCTGGCCCCTAGGCCATCAAACAGCGACTCTCGGGATAAAAGCCCGTCCCCGGGAATGGCTCGAGACACCTGGCGGCCCCACACTGAACAAGACATCCACCTCGCCATCGTTCGGACGTCCATGTACCGTGCACTGCTCGATTTCGTGCACGTCATTTCCATGAGATGATCCAGGACGCTCCTCGATGGTTCTTGCCGAAGATTCGGGGAGACGTAAGACTCGGGTACGGGGGGCTCGGGTCGGCCTGACGGGGCCATCATAAAAAATGACGAGACCCAATATGAAATCTGACGCGGGCTCCCGTTGCGGACATCCCACGCCAACGGGGCCGTCAAGATCCAGGACGCGCTCGTCAAAGAAAAGTCGGCTAACCCGAGTTCCGGCTTGGCTATGGCGAGGCGCGGCGAAGGCACGGCGGGGCACGGCGAAGCGCACCGAACGCGCGGCGAGGGGCCGCAGGCGAGTCCGCAACCCTTGATGGGCCTGTTTTTCACAACCACCACCACAAGTTGGAGGGAGGAAGGAGGTGGAGGACGAGGGGGAGAAGGAGGAGGAGGAGGACGAAAAGGAGGAGGAGAAGGAGGAGGGGAAGGAGGAGGAGGTGGAGGAGGAGGAGGACCCATTCCCCTTCCAACTGATGGTGGTGGTGGTGGAAAACAGGCCCATCAACCCTCGCGATCGCTGAGGCGGCCACGGCGGCATGGCGGCGTCTCGGCGCTGCGGCGGGCGAGTGGGCGGTGCTCCTGGCGCAGGGGGTGGGAAAGGGGAGGAAGGGGAGGCCAAGGTCGGGTCAGACGAACGGGGAGACGATGAAGGTGAACGGGGCCCAGGGAGGCATAGTGAATCCGCCGATCCAGTCGGCGTGTGCGAGAGGCCCTTCGACGCGAGGCCAGCCCAACCTAAACTGAAGTACGCCGGTCTCCTTTGAATCGTCGTTGTCGTCGTAAGGGAGCTCAAACAAGGAGATCGAACAATGTCGCAATTAAGTTGAAGGGAAGCCCATTCCCTTTGTCCCTTCCCCGGCGGGGGGGGGTCCCGGGAAGGGTCCCAGGGAGTGGTCACGGGGGGCGTCCCAGGAGGGGTCCCCAGGGGCCCCAGAAGTTGTGAGCCATCCCCCGCTGGAGTTGGCCCCTCTGTTTTCGCCTCTCAGACGTCCGTCCCCGAGGAGACAGAGATACAGAGGGCTCTCCTCCTCCTCCTCGTTTTCCTCCTCCTCCTCCTCGATTCCTGTTCCTTATGAATAACTTCTCACTTTCGCACCCCGAGGCCAGTTTTTAGGGCTGACCGGGCGTTTCGCCTGACACTTCCTTTCATTCATAACCCTGAATCGTCAAAAAAAACAACGGGTTCACAGATGGAGGGCGGGCCGTTTTCAAAATGTGGCTCTCGCCTTAGCGCGGCGCGCATTCGTTCTTAAAATTTGCAAAAGCTTCACAGATTGAGGGCGGCTCATTTCCCAAATGTGGCTCTCGCCTCAGCGCGGCGCACATTCGTTTAAAAATGCAAGCGCTTCAAGGATTGAGGGCGGTTCCTTTTCAAAATGTGGCTCTCGCCTTAGCGCCGCGCACATTCCGTTTTACAGAATTGCACGAATTTCACGGCTGCCCATCATCGACGTGCCAGCAATAATGTGTGAAAAGGATTCAGGATTATTCGGCTGCAACAGCTACGTGGATTCGCTGTGTGAAATCCCAGGAATGGCGTTCCGGCACGATTCAGGCTTGTCAAGACGACACAGTCAGGGTGACCCGTGGCGTTTGAATCTGGAGGACAATGTTTTGGCATGCTTCAGGGTCTTAAAACGGTTGTCTTCCAAAGCGGCAGTTCCTTCAATGGAAATGAACAGTTGTAAGGGCCTATGAAGAGGGAGCTTGGAGGGAGGGTGTAATCCAACATCGTTGATGGCTCGTGGGTTTACTCTGGTCCTCCTCCTCCTCCTCCTCCTCCGCCTCCTCCTCCTCCTCCTCCTCCTCCTCCTCCCCTTCCTCCCCCTCCTCCTCCTCCTTCTCCTCCACCTCCTCCTCCACCTCCTCCTCCTCCTCCTCCTCTTTCTCCTCCTCCTCCTCCTCCTCCTCCGCATCCTCCGCACCCCTCTCCACCCCCACCCCCTCAACCCCCCCCTCATCCTCGTTCTCCTCCTTTCCTCCTCCTTTTTCTCCTCCTCTTTCTCCTCCTCCCCTCCCTTCCTCCTCCTCTCCTGATCTTACTCCTCCTCCTCCCGCCTCCTCCGCCTCCTCCTCCTCCTCTCCTCCTCCCTCCTCCTCCTCCTCCTCCTCCTCCTCCTCCTCCTCTTCCTCCTCCTTGTATTCCTCCTCTAACCCATCACCCTCCACCACCTCCACCTCCGCCTCATCCTCCTCCGTCTTCCTTTCCTCCTCATTTTCCTCCTCCTCCACCCCCTCCACAATTGCACAATATGGATACTACTCTCCTCTCTCCCCTGATGACGTCCAGAAGATATCTGGCCCCCCTCCGCGTACTGTTTTTACATGCAAGATTCCCAGAAAATCGGTGTTCGCTTGGGCGTGTTTTCAAAATGTTGCTCCCGCTGGAGCGCTGGCCCAATTTCTCCGCCTCTGGTTGTTCCAAAGTTTTTCGGGGAGCCGAAGGAGCTAGACATGGAGCCACGACTCCAGACCGGTCCAGCCCTCTCGAAGACGTTCCACTAACCTTCCAAGGAACCCGGCGCCATGCGCTGACATGATGTACAGTGTTGCGTTCTGCGCCGCTGTGCGATACCATGCTTTGCGTTGCAATGCTTTGCGATGCAACGCTTCACCGCGCAATGCCAAGCCATGCTATAGTATGTTACGCTCTGCAATGCTCATCTACGCCATGCCATGCCGTGCTCTACCATGCATCGCGTATTCTCTTGAGATCATTGCCCTGCTCGCCATCCGACTGGTTAGGGATGGGAGGGAGGGGTAGGACGTCAGATATGATGCGAGCGCACCTAGCTTGTCCTCCTCCCCTCCTCCTCCTCCTCCTCCTCCTCCTCCTCCTCCTCCTCCTCCTCCTCCTCCTCCTCCTCCTCCTCCTCCCTCCTCCTGCTCCTCCCTCCACCGCCCGCCCTGTGCCCCGAGCATGTGGCAGGGTCATCAACTCGTCGTTGTCGTTCTCGCAGTGGTCGTCGTCGTGGTCGTCCTTCTGGGTCGGCGGCACCGGCCGCCGATAGATACAGATCCAAGTTCCCATATCATTTGACATTTCCTGGATGCTCGTCTTCGCCTCCGCTTCCCGCATCTCCCACATGCTCCTGGGGATCGATGCCTTTATGTGTCTTTTGCATGTGTGCTCCCTCCTTACAGGTCGGATCGGACGAACGGGGAGATCATGAGAGCGGGGGGCATCACCCAAAAGGCTGGTTTTCTCAGCGCCTCCTGGCGCCGGAGGCGGCCATGAACCTAGGAGAGGGCCCCGCGGCAGAGCCGAAACCGGCCCCCTTTCCCAATCCCTCTCGTCCGACCCAAGAGGGGGCAGCGAGGTAAGGAAGCGCAGGAGGACGAGGGAGATCCAGGGTCGAGGTTTTGGGGGCGTTTCTGGCTCCTCTGGGACAAGGGCACCCAGGGGAGCCTGCTGTCGAGGAGGCCCCTCGGGAGAGCGAGGGGTGTCATCTGGAGGAGCGGAGAGGCCGGATGTGATCTGACTCGCAGAGCGTTGAGGTGGAGTCTGGAGGAAAGGGCAAGGGCAAGGGTAGGAGAGAAATGGGTGATCTGTCAGTGTGTATGTGTACGGCATATTCCCACAACAATGCTTGCGCGTCAGGGCTCGTCCTTCTTGCTCTAAAAAAAGAACTGGGCCTGGCTGCCTGTCTGGCGGCTCTGTGGTCGCGGTCGCCGCCCCGTCGCCGCCTCGTCGCCGGCCGTCGTCTGGGCCTGGCTGCCGGTCTGGCGGTTCCGTGGTAGCCGTCGCTTCCCCGTCGCCGCCTCGTCGCCGCCCATCGTCTGGGCCTAGCTGCCGATCTGGCGGCGGTTCCCCCGGACGCGTCGCCACGGCTTGACGACCCCCGAGGCTCGCGCCCTGGGCCGCGCTCTCGCGCCCTCGTCGCCCCTGCCGAGGGGCGTCGCCGCCTCTGCACAGGGGCCAAGTCGCCCCCGCTGGAGGAATCGAGGAGGGGATCGACGACAGAACTGACTTACCCCAAACCCGGGGGGGGGCGAGAGCGTATCGATGCCACGCCGCCGCGGGGGCCCCCAGGGCCCCGTCGGCGTGCTGCTGCTGTCGATGCGCGCCGTCTTTCTCAAGCGAAGAGCGAGGGAGCAACACGCCGATGAGGCCCTGTGGGCCCCCACGGCGGCGTGACATGGATACACTTTCGCCCCCCGGCAAGCCTGATTTGTCTGGCGGTGTAACTGACGGCCTCCGCCTCCGCTCCGACGGCCTGCCTGCTGGGAGCCGGCGGCATGCGCATCCGCTTTCTCTCTCGCCAAGCGAGGCGGAGCCCTCGTCCGCCACCCGCGAGGCCTGGGATCGTAGGTGCCGTCGCCGCCGCGAGCGCGGGAGGAGGAGGAGACGGGGCAAGCAGGGAGGAGAGGGGGCAAAAAGGGAGGGGGAGGAGGAGGAGGAGGAGGAGGAGGAGGAGGAGGAGGAGGAGGAGGAGGAGGAGGAGGAGGAGGAGGACGATGAGGAAGGATGATGATGAAGGAACGAGGAGGCTCTCCTCCTCCTCCTCCTCCTCCTCCTCCTCCTCCTCCTCCTCCACTGTGCTTTCCCCCCTCCTCCCTTTTTCGCCTCCTCCTCCCACCTCGCCGCTCAGGAACGGCTAGGGAGTTCGGTGTTAAGTGGGGCAAGCAGAAATTACCCCAGTGCGACCCTACCTAGGAGTTGGAGCCCCTAGGAAAGCAGCATTAGTAGTAACAGTGAAGCTAAGCTAAAGCTAAGCTAAAGCTAGGCTAAAGCTAAGCTAAAGCTAAGCTAAATATGAGCCAACATTAAGCTAAGGCTAAGCTGAAGGCAAGCTGAAGCTAAGCTAACTATAAGATAAAGCTAAGCTAACGCTAAGACAAAGCTAAGCTAACGCTAAGCTAAAGTTAAGCTCAAGCTGCGCTAAAGCTAAGCTAAAGCTAAGGTACAGCTAAGCTCAAGTTAAGCTAAAGCTAAGCTAAAGCTGAGCTAACACCAAGCTAAAGCTAAGCTAAAGCTAAGCTCAAGCTAAGATACATCTAAGCTAAAGCTAAGCTAAAGCTAAGCTAAAGCTAAGCTAAAGCTAAGATAAAGCTAAGATAAAGCTAAGATAAAGCTAAGATAAAGCTAAGCTAAAGCTACGCTAAAGCTAAACTAAATCTAAGCACAGCTAATATTATATATGCTACGCTAAGCTAAGCTAAGCTAATCTAAGCTACAGCTAAGCGAAGCTAATATGAAGCTAAGCTCAGCTAAGCTAAGCTAAGCTAAGATGAGATAAGCAACGCTAAGCTAAGGAGACGTAACTGGGGGAACCGCGGGGCGGGGACTGGGGGAACCGCCCAGGGCGTTTTACACTGCCCGGCCCCTTTAAGCAAACAAAGTAAGAACCCTCTAGGCAGAGCCTAGGTAGGGAAAAAAAGGAAGGAGGAGGAGGAGGAGGAGGAGGAGGATGGGACGACGACGGCAACGACGACAACGATCAGGAGATGGAATGCAAGGAGGCAAAAAGAGGAGAACGCGGATGATGATGATGATGATGATGATGATGATGATGATGCTGATGATGATGATGATGATGATGATGATGATGATGATGATGATGATGTGATGATGATGATGATGATGATGATGAGGAGGAGGAGGAGGAGGAGGAGGAGGAGAAGGAGGAGGAGGACGACGACGACCACGAGGGCCCCGCCGAAGGACGCGGGGAAGAAGCCAAGACCGGCGCGGCGGGCAGCTCACGCCGCGCCGCGCAGCATGCTGGAAGTCTGCAGCAGCGAGTAGTCCGCCCCGCTGAGCACAGCCTGGCGCGGCAAGCGCGGCCTCCTCCTCCTCCTCCTCCTCCTCCTCCCCCTCCTCCTCCTCCCGGGAGATCTCGGGGGGGAGGGAACGGAGGAGCGCAGTGGAAGGAGCGGGGAAGAAGGCCTCGGGAGAACGGATGAAGACGAGGAGGCGAAGGAGGAGGACGCGGCCTGGGCACTGTCCTTGTCGCCGCTCTGTTGTGGGCGCTTTCGCAAGCGGCAGCAGGCGGCAGAGGAGCCACACGGAGCCGAAAGGAGGACGAGGCCTCGAGAGGGGGGAGGAGGCCTTGGGAGACCGAGGCGGCGGAGGAGAAGGAGGAGGAGGAGGAGGACGAGGAGGAGGAGGGATGAGGGAGGAGGAGCTGACCTCCGCCCTCGGGGGGGAGCGTTCACCATCGACACATGGACACCATCATCGCCACCGTCGTCTCAGGTAATCGGCGCCGTCATTGGCATTGCCGTAGCCATCGTCATCATCGCCACCACCATCGCAAACATCATCATCGTTCTCGCCGTTGCCGACGTCATGATACCGCGCCCACCAGAATTACCGACCCGCACTGGAGCGCCCGCGCGCCAGCGCGGCCTCTGAGACGCGTTGGGGAATTCCCATCGGTAAGCGCCATCGAGGCCGCATCGGCTGTGTCAAATCAGCCGGCCGCTCTGCGCTCGAGATTGCGCGCTAGCGCAGCCGCAGGGATGCGCCTTCCAGTGCCAAGGAGTCACTGCAACTGCGTGCGGCCGCATTGGTTGTGCAAAACAAGTTGCGGGTGGGAGTGTGGGATGATGGCGCGAGCAATGGAGTCGACACATCTTTTGTGAACACTACTTGGGTATACCGCACAGCTTGCACCACATAGCTTACACCAAGTAGCGTGCACCACGCTGCATATACGGTGCAATAGCTTACTGGCCGGGGTCCACGCCACGCTGGCAAGCACGAAGCGGAGGCAGTTCAGCAGGAGGAGTTGGAGGAAGCCGCAGCATATCCCCTCTTTCCCCCCACGTGCGCCCCCCTGGACCCGGAGCCCTAGCTCACGCTGTGCCTGACTAGCGCCACGAACCGTTGATTACGAACTCTGTGCTTCGCGTGTCGCCGCGGCGGCCCTGGCGACACGCTATGCCTTGCGAGTGGATAGCGCGTCGATCCACTCATTAGAGAGAGAGAGAGAGGGAGAGAGAGCGAGAGAGAGGCTCGGGAGATTGCAGCCTGCGGGCCCGGAACTGGATAGCGCGTCGCTTCGAAGCGTGGCGGGCCAAAACCAGCGGAGCGACGCGCTGTCCAAAAGTTCCCGACCGTACGCCGAGCGGTCGCAGCCGTGCCGACACGGGCACAGAGAGACAAGGAGGCGTCGGCCGCACGGGAGCGGAGAGGCGGGGGAGAGGGCGCCAAGAGAGAGATCTGGCGGGCTTGCTTTCCACCGCCACCACCAGAAGTAGGGGGGAGGGGGTCCTCCTCCTCCTCCTCCTCCTCCCCCTCCTCCTCCTCCTCCTCCTCCTCCTCCTCCTCCTCCTCCTCCTCCTCCTCCTCCTCCTCCTCTTATTCTTCCTCCTCCTCCTCCTCCTCCTTCTCCTCCTCTTATTCTTCCTCCTCATCCTCCACCCCCCTCCCCCCTCCCAGCTTCTGGTGGTGGTGGTGGAAGACGTGGCCCATCAAAGAGAGAGAGCGAGAGAGAGAGAGAGAGCGGGGAGGCGGCCGAGACCCGCAGGGGCGCACCACCGCGGCGGGAGCAGAGACGCCGACGAGCAGCCGATGTGGCGCCCAGGGCGCTTGTTGCGCAGCTATATAGGGAAGGGGCCCTGGGACACACAAATAAATACACACAAATAACAAGAATCCCAATATTTTCCCGTATTTTCTGGGTTTGTGTCTCCCTCCCCCACTTCCTATATTTTCCCATATTTTCCTGGGAGTCGACGATTAATTGTGTCGGTGTGCTCCTTTCCCTCCTGAATATAGGGCAGGAGCGCGGCTGCGAGACCTCTTGCGCGGGCCGCGCGGCGGCCTGGATGCGGGCACCGTCCCGGGGCCCTGCATGCGGGGGCGCGCAACAACATGGATTCGCGATCCGTGGATCTGGCGGGCGGTCGCCGGGTCCATGGATCGGGGGAGCTGCCCTCCCCAAAGTGCGGCCGGCGCCGCCTCGCTCGGCGGCGGACATCCGCGATTTCCCACGGAAACGGGACCAACCCGTCGCTAATCCGCGCCCCCTTGATCCATGTTTGCGATCGCATGATGGGCGCGGGCGCAGTCCCAAAGCCCCGGGCCCCGGGGCCCTAGGACTGCGCCAGCCTGACACAGCACGCGCGAGAGACTGCTGCGCCATAGCCGCGCGAACCGCGCATTCCAAAGAGCCGGCCGCAAGGAAGAAAAAACTATGCGCAAAGGTGTACGAGAGCCCAGGCGGGGCCAGCTGGATTCCGGCCTTGCTTCCGTTCGCATTACGCTTGGGGAGTCCTTTTTTCGCCTGGGCCTCCTCACCCTGGGACCTCGGGCCAACGCGGCGGCGAGCAGCAGCGCGCGCGGAGCGCCCCTCCTCGACGAGCGCGTCCCACCACTCGCCAAGTAAGCCACTACTCGCGAACGGCCTGGATCCGCCGCGAGGGATCTGCGACAAATGACCTCGACACGGACGTGTGCTTCCCGGACGTTTGCGAGTGGGCACTCTGCGAGCAGCGGGCCGCGCGCGGAGCGCCCTCCCGCACCGGTGTGCTCCGGAGAGGCCGCCGGGAGCACTCCGCCTGCCTGCTGCCGGAGAGGCCGGCCATCGGGCAGTGTGCCGGCCGGCGCGCGCCGCTGGCCCGCGGGGCGGGGAGGCGGCACCCGGCCCAGAGGGGAGCAGGAGCGGGGAGCCCTCCCACTTCGGCGGTGGACAAACCTCCCTGTAGTAAACCTCCCCTTAGTGAAAACGGCCTGGGACCGAAACCGACGGACCTGGACGCGCAAAGATAACGGCCGCGACGCCGTCTCGCGAACCCAAAACGGCCAATTCCTCAATCGACGTGTCAGGGTAGGAGGTCTGTCCAACCCCGACCACTGCCCCCCTGGTCTGAGGAGGCAGCGATAGTCAAGGGGCCCAGGGGCACGAAAATAACTACACACAAATCACAAGTCCCAAGACTCCCCCTGTGTTCCCATCATTTCTGGGTGTCTGTCTTCCCTCCCCACTTTTCCCATGTTTGCTATATTTTCCTGGGAATCGGCGATGAATTCTGTCTATGTGTTTTTCCCCCTGCTGAGATAGGGGGGATTGGCAAGGGGGGGAACATTGACCTGGGCTCGGCGACACATCGGCGACAGAGCGGCGATGGGCACCCTATACCGCATCCGCTTGCTCCTGGGCAGGGTGGGGCTATCGGGCCCCCGTGGGCGATGAACGGGCGATGGGGGTCGATGCAGTCCTCCCCATGCCTATCCCACCCTGTCGCTGCCCCTGATGATCCCCCCTGCCAGTCCACTTCCCCCAGAGCAGGGACTCCCCTCGCTGGCTCATTTTGCAAGCTGTCTGAGTTACCTCGACCGTGATCCGCCGCCGCCGCCGGGCTCGCCGACACTCGCCCATGCTCCATCTCCGAGAGCTTGGCCCGCAGCTGGTCCAGCTCCTGATTGAGCGTCGCCTGTTCGGCAGCGGCAGACGCTGCTTGCAAAACGAAATGCCTCTTTTCGCGCCGTAGTTCTGAAGCCTGCGTCCTCAGCTGATCCGCCTCCGCCGCCGCGGCAGCACTGACCGACTCCAACCGCTGACTCTCCTCGGAGAGCTTGGCCCGCAGCCGGTCCAGCTCCTGTCTGAGTGTGATCTTCTCATCAGCCGCGGACGCTGCAGCTGCCTGTAGCTCGGAGACCTGCTTCCTCAGCTGATCCGCCTCCGCTACCGCCGACTCCCGCCGCTGTTCCTCTTCGGAGAGCTTGGCCCGCACCTGGGCCTGCTCAGCAGCGGTGGCCGCTGCTGCTGCCTGTATATCGGCCTGCTTCCTCAGATGATCCACCTCCGCCGCCGCGGACTCTGGCCGCTGCCCATCCTCAGAGAACTTGGCCTGCAGCAGGTCCAGCTCCTGCCTGAGCGTCGCCTGTTCGGCAGCGGCGGACGCTGCTTGCAAAACGAAATGTCTCTTTTCGCGCCGAAGATCAGAGACCTGTTTCCTCAGCTGATCCGCCTCCGCTGTCACGGCTGCGCTGACCGACTCCCGCCGCAGCTCCGTCTTGGAGACCTTGACCCACAACTGATCCAGCTGCTGCCTGGCCCGCATCCGATCCAGCTCATGCCTGAGCGCGCTTTGCTCGGCAGCGGCGGCCGCTGCTGCTGCCTGTAGCTCGGAGGCGCGCTTGCTCAGCTGATCCACCTCCGCCGCCTCCGCGGACACTGGCCGCCGCCCCTCCGCGGAGAGCTTGGCCCGCAGCTGGTCCAGCTCCTGATTGAGCGTCGCCTGTTCGGCAGCGGCAGACGCTGCTTGCAAAACGAAATGCCTCTTTTCGCGCCGTAGTTCTGAAGCCTGCGTCCTCAGCTGATCCGCCTCCGCCGCCGCGGCCGCACTGACCGACTCCAACCGCTGACTCTCCTCAGAGAGCTTGGCTTGCAACCAGTCCAACTTCTGTCTGAGCGCGACATTCTCATCCGCCGCGGACGCTGCAGCTGCCTGTAGTTCGGAGGACTGTTTCCTCAGCTGATCCGCCTCTGCCGCCGCGGCTGAGCTTGCCGACTCACGCCGCTGCTCCTCCTCGGAGAGCTTTGCCTGCAGCTGGTCCAACTCCTGCCTGAGCGCGACATTCTCATCATCCGCGGGCGCTACTGCTGCCTGTAGCGCGAAGGCCTGCTTGCTCAACTGATCCGCGTCTGCCGCCACGGCAGCTCTTGCCGAATGCAATTGCTGCTCCTCCGCGGAGCGCTTGGACCGCAGTCCGTCCAACTCCTGCCTGAGAACGGCCTGCTCAGCAACGGCGGTCGCTGCAGCTGAACGTCCGCCACCGCGCTTGCAGCGGTTGGTGTATGTCGGATAGTGTGTTCTGGTCTTCAGCTTACAACATCTCGCCTTGCGAACCAGATGATTGCCAGCGTAGATACGAAACAGTAGGTGATTGCACTGTTGGCATGGAAGGTATGTGGCGCAAGGTTTGTGATGCATGCTGTGTGATGCAGTAAGCATGTGCGTAAACATAAACGTATAACATATACACACACACGCATAATCCAGAAGCCGCATTAAAGTGATCATTTGTTTTTTGGCCCCCCCTCTGTCACAGAGGGGGTCTGAGATGCCCCCCCTCTGTCACAGAGGGGGTCTGAGATGCCCCCCCCTCTGTCACGGAGGACCTCGTTCTGGGTGCTCTTCTGCCACGGGAGCTCCCGATACGATTGGAGACGATAAAATGTGATAGCGGGATGGGGGATTGGAGGGGGAGGGAGAAGAAAACGATGAAGGAGAGGAGGCAACGACAGCACCGATGAAAGCACCGTTTCTTTTTCCTTCTCCGCTCGGGCAGCGGTCGCCGAGCACGACGGCGCGCGCGAGTCGCCGCCGCTCACGATGCATTGGCAAGGCCTCCGCTGCTGCGGAGGGTCGACGTTCGGCCGATGAGGCCTCCCTCCGCTGCTGCGGAGGGGCGGCTCCTGTGCGATGGTTCAACTAAGCTTTTCCCAGGGATTGGTTTCGGGGGGGGGTTCGACCCACCTCCAAGTCGTGGTCGCGACCTCCCAGTGCCCCTGGCCGCTACTCCACCCACTGTGGCTGCTCCACCAGTCACTGGGGCGTTGGTCGCTGCCGAATGCAACTTGCATGTCGCGCCAGGCGGAGTCGACCATGCGGTCCTGCAGCGAGGAAGCCTCGCCGCTCGGCTGTTGCCACTCGCGCTCCTCGCCCTCCTTGGTGCGCCACCACTCATCCCTGCGCCACTCCTCGTCTGTTGGTTGCTGCCGTGGCGTTTGTGGCCTCCGCTGCTGCGGGGGCTCTGGCGGCTCGTGGCCGAGGGCAGCGATCGCGTCCGAGATGTAGATGGCGGCGCCGCGCTGCCCTCGCTGCTCCAGCGGCGCAGGCCCTGGAGATGGGCACTGCGGGGTCGGCTGCCACCTGGGGGGTGATAAATAATTATTTCTATATCCCCTCCCTGTCAACTCCCGCCCCTTCCCGACACTCATTTCCTTATGTCATCCCTCGTCCTGCTCAGCCTATTCCTCATTCCCTCTCCTCCCTCCTGCCCTCCCCGTGCTCCACCGCCCCTCTCCCCCCCCCCCCTTTCAACCCCCCGCCGCGACCTTCCATCGCCAGCCGCGGGCATGTCGCGGCCGTCGTCCGCGCTTTCGTCTGCCCATCTTGGTGGGCGCCACGCCTGTTGGGCGCGCTCGTCTTGCTCGCCCCTCTCGCTGCGCTGCTCTGGTGCCTGGCGCTCGGGCCCGTGCTGCTCGGGCGGCAGCGGCGCCCTGAGCGCAGCTGCCAGCTGTTTCTGGGCGCGCCTGTCTTTCTTCTCTTTGGCTCTCTCCTGCTTCCTCCCCGGCGAACGCACGCTGGCCATGCGCATTTGGAACAGGAGAGGGTAGTGGGCGCCGCCGTGCCAGCGCCCCTCCACCTCCACGGTCTCTGGCGGGAACGTCTTCTGCAACGCGCGGAAGAGGGTCACCTCGCGATTACTAGAGAAGCGGTGGTCCCCTCTAGCCTCAGCCTCGGCGCGCCTCAGTTTCTCACTCTCCTTCTCTTGGATCTTGCGTTGGCATTCCTCTGACTGAGTCAGTAAATCCTGGAGGTGCTCGCGGGCGTCTTTTTTCGGGTAGTAGCAAGAGTAAGGCATCCCAGGGCCTCCGTTCTGGCTGTGGTGCCAGTACGTCGGCTGCGATGATGGGCTGGTGGCGGCCCCCGCTGCTGCGGGGGCCTCTGCCTTGCTTCTGTTACGGTACCCGATCTCACCGATCACCGACTTGCGTGCGAAGAGCAACCCCGTCTCGTCTCTGTCGTGCACGGCGCTCAGCGGCCAGCACAGGGTGTACTCGCCAGGCCTGTTGAGAACGAAGATGCCGCAGCTGTCCAAGCACGGAGTGCCGTCCAATCCGCGCCAGAAGTACGCTGCTGCCGTCTCCAATCGCACGCCTAGACCCCGAAGACTCGGCAGCGTCTGTGTGAGCGCCATGTTGAAATCCCCACAAAGGATGTCAACGCTGTTGTCCTGCAAGATGGTCGCCAACCTCGGCCACCACGTCTTGTGAGCCTCGTTAAAGCCTCTGGAATTGTTCGCCGTGTCGCGGTGGAGGTGCACCGCGCGCACCCGCACTTTCGAGCCGAAGTGGGCGTAGGTTTGATCGAAGTAGAGCTCAACCACCATGATCCTCGAGAACGCTTCCATCTTGCGCCCTCTTGCTGTTCTGTAGTGGCCGTCGACACTCCTTTCCCAGTGGAGCAGCCGCATTTCGTAACACAGATTTGCGCGCGCAGCGATGCACAAGGACTTGTCCTCACGCCCGCGCAGGGTCAAGTATTCGTACTCTGGTCGATTCTGGAGCTGTTGGCAATCGCCAACACTCGCAGCACGACTTCCTCTTGCTGTCGCCATCGCTGCTGCGGGGGCGACAAAAGGCCCACCGCTGCTGCTGCTTTGGCCCTCCGCTGCTGACGTACCCGCTGCTGCGGGGGCGTCCGCCTGCAGCGGCGGTGGTCTCCCTGGCCGCTGTAGGATTGACTCCGTCTGCTCCTCGCATTCCGCAAAGCACGCCACGAGAGCAGGGCAATGCCGCAGCTGCAACTCAAGTCTCCGCCGCTGGTCCGCGTGGTTGGTCTCGCTCGGCATGGAACCCCAGTTCCCGAACAGGACGGAAAGGTTGCCCACGTTGTCGTTCCGTGGCCTGTTCACGTCAGCCGCTCTTCTTTCGCAGAAGAATTTTGGCGGGACGGTGTCGCGAAGAACGCATTCGCGCCGCTCGACGTCGTTGGGCGGCCTGCAGCCCCTAAATTCCTGAGGCCCTTCGTCATCGCTCGGAGCAACCACGGAGTCGCCTGGGCGGGTGCGTATCGTAGAAACTTCTGATCGCGCCGCCGCTGCTGAGCTTGAGACGCCAGGCGGCGCAGCCCCCGCTGCTGCGGGGGTGCCCTCTGGCACAAGGGCCCAAGGACCCTTCCAGGGTTCTGCCTGACCACCTACAGGTCGCCAAATCTTCCCAGATTTCGCTGTGAACACTGCCGTCAGTCGGCCCCGAGGCCCCGCTGCTGCGGGGCCCAATGGGCTGCTGCTGCTGCTGGCGGCCGCGGCCATCGCTCCCTGCCCCCGCGTTGCAGGGGGGGCGGCCGTCACAGCCGAACTCCTGGGGCCGAAACGGCGGTGGAAGGAGGGGGACGGGGCGAAGAGGAGGAAGACGGGGCGGATAGGGAAGGAAAGGGCGGGCAGAGAGAGAGGGAGAGAGAGAGAGAGAGAGAGAGAGACAGGGAGATAGTGAGAGAGGGAGAGAGAGAGAGAGAGAGAGAGAGAGAGAGAGAGAGAGAGAGAGAGAGACAGAGAGAGAGAGAGAGAGAGGGAGAGAGAGAGAGAGAGAGAGACGGACGACGATAACGAGAGAGAGAGAGAGAGAGAGAGAGATAGAGAGAGGAATGATATAATGACCAGGAGAGATCAGGGAGAAGGAGGGGGGAGAGCAGGAGGAGGGGCGGAGTGATCGACACCCGCGTGGTTTTCTCCCCCTGCCTGCTCTCCCCCTCCTCTCACCTCCTCCCCCGTCCCCCCTCCTCCCTGTTTCTTCTGCGCAAGGCCTGCGCTACGTCCGCGCGCGCACGCGGCACCTCAGTCGCAGGCAGGTGGGAGAGCAGTGGCTGCTGCCCGAACTCACACCCCGCGCCTCGCCGCTGCTGCGGCGGGCCGCGCCTCTCAGAGGCCCCCAGCTGCAGGGAGCGCAAGCGCCAGGGAGCCAGACAGACGGCGTCGCGTCTCACTGTGCACAAACATGCTGAAAGCTCTCGGGTTGCCCCCCAAGTACTCGTCTATGACGTTCTGCAACCATGTGGCAAACGTCTCCGGCCACTTTCCACCGAAGTCCTCCATGCCAGCGGCGTCCCATTCCCGCCGAAACCAGTCAAAATCTGACCGCTGAGCTGCAGAAAGCCCAGAACCCAAAATCGCAAGGCGATTCAGCGCGTCGTACCTCGACGTTCGACCCGCCACGCCTCCGCAGCTGCGAAGGCCCGCGCCCAGCTCGGATAACCCGACATGCTTCATCATCCAATAGTCTATTGCCTCTGCGGCGAGTTTGGCTTGCTGTGTCCTCAGCAGCTTGCGCGCTTTCTTTACGTCGTCCCCCAGGCGGGTTAGCTCTTCTCTGCGCCGCGCCTCGACATCCCGCTGTCGTTTCTCGTTTCTGAGCGTCGCCTCGCGGGCGTCCTCGCATGCTGCGAGGGCTCGCTGAACCCCAGGATCTTCCTTCGACACTTCACGCACTCGCCTCCGTTCTTTCCGTAATTGCGTCTCCGTGAACGTGGCCCCCGCGATGTCGCCCCAGCTGCGCAACTCCTCAGCGATCGACGAATACGTTCTCATCAATTCAGACGTCTGCTCCGCAGTTTCCATACGAGACGTCGACAGGCCAGGCGGTGCCTCCAGCGCGCTCTCCCCCGCCGCTGCTGCGGTGAGACTTTGATTGGCCCATTCGTAGTCAAACTCGCCAGCGGCGCTCCACCCGTCGTCGTCCTCGCTCCCATCATCTTCATCTCCTTCGAGGGCGTCGACGGAATTGCCACCCTCAGTGCCCCCGCTGCTGCGGAGACCCTCGGCTGCGTCTTCCGCCCCCTCCATGCCATGCCAAATCTTGTCGCCCTCGTCCAGAGCCGTGTCGTCTCCAAGGTTTGCGAACACGTCGTCGCAGTGGCCGCGTCGAGGGTGCGGGAGGACCAATCGCATGATGTCTTTGTAAGTCCATCTCAAGCGCCCCGCCTGTACCTCTTCTTCGACCTCCGCTACT